AAAGTGCGGAGAAACGTGCAGAATTGGGAACGACGTCATGAATAGGAAATGCAAGAGTGCAGTCTTACTATCTTTCGAACAGAGTCATGGTCGTCGTCCTCATAAGAAAAAGTAGAAAACTTGATCGGAAACATTACCGTCCGCCTAACGTCAAGCCAGGAAGATGAACGCACGCACGCAGAATGTAAGAATGCGGAACTATTCTTGTGAAGAATTCGAAATTGTGTGTCTGCACTTTTGTTTGTACTTTCCTTGTTTCTCAAATGACTATATTTGTGTCACAGATTCAAAGAGAAAAACAGACATAACTTTTCAAGGGAGAATATACATTACTTTTTAGGAGATGGTAATTATTTAGACTTGTTGATGTCCAATATTACAAATATTTCCAGATGCGGTAGATTACGTCAACTGGATTTGTCTTATAACTCTGAATTTTTATGTATATTTGTTAGACTTGCAAATAAAGGCAAATTACCAGCATAGGTTGTTCTGTCAGTAATTATCCTGTAATGTGTTACCGCCACTGGTCTGGCTATTTTTACGTTTGCCTAGCCACCACAAGAACAGATCGTTTGACATACATAAATAAGTACATTGTACATATGTATGTTTTATGTGCATACGATAGGCAACGGTGGAATTTACATATTTATCACACATTTCTATCTATTGTTCATGATGTTCGACTTTATTGATGCAAAATAGGAACACGAAACGGTCTCTACGTAAAGCATGAAATGATAATCCAGAATAAAATAATATTAGTGGTCATATATAGGTTGCGAAGCATGAGTATACATGACAAATGTGTAAGGCTCACTTGAACTATTGAGTAAGTTCAACGTCGATCATATCTCTAAAGCAAGCAAAATGGTTCTCCAAAGAGAAAAGATGATACGATACGATACGAAAACACATACTGTACTTCTAGAAATGTAGCAAGCAACATCTTAAAGAGTGGGAGAAAGCTGAGTTGGAAGGCAGAGCAAAATAATTCGCAACTGGATTGCATTTTTTCAGGCAAGTCCAAAAGAAATTTTCACTAACCTTTGCTGCACTCATCTATACAGGGTGGAAATCCTTCATCCCGACCCCCAATTACGGAGAAGCCAAAGCGACGGTCTCCTTTCTCCATGACACATTCAACTTGCAGGATCCGCTCCTACATAAAAACGGCTAAATGAATTTCTCGTCAATCAATCACAATCAAATTAGAAATAGTTTAAAGCAGCAGATGGCGACATGGTGAGGTGATCATTTGCCAATCAGACATATGTATACATGCCAAGAGATACAATGTTTCTACGTACGTCGGCATCAGTGGGCGTGTAATTTGACATGAAATCCGAATCCATGGAGGAGAAGGACAGCGAGTGCTGGTGAAAGTGAGCGGGCGGTGGGCTTAAAGGGCCGCCTCCTGACGTTGGTCCTGGCATATTTGTCATTTCTATCATCCCGCCCTGATACCCGTTCGCTGAGTTGTCTACACTTCTCGACCTCAAATGCGCCGAGCTGGAGAGAACCGGAGTGGGGACAGCTTTAGCCTTGTTAATTGGCCGACCAAGGGTGCCACCACCACCTCCGCTGGGTGATGACCCGTTTGGACTGTTGATTATTGTCACTTTGGTTCGAGCTCCGTAATTGTTCCGATAATTGGAGCAGGATCCACTGCTTTCTTGTTTTGGAGACCCATTTGAGGAGACGGAGGAAGGGGATCCGGATGAAAGGCTGCTTGGACTAAAGCCATTATGCCCATTTAGGACATTATTGAAGCTTGTCAGTGCTTCATGGTTACCATTAAGACGATTAGTGGAGCTGTATGTTGGGAGGGTATTTGTAGTTGAAGGTGCTTGGCCACCTTTGCCATCTTGACCTCTGGCAAAAGTCTGAAACGTAGACAAAGTCCGTTGGGTCCACAAGTCGTCCTGTAATTCAAGAACACGTTATTAGCTACGTATATTTTTTTAATACACACAATGGGCAAGAATGTAATCAGATTTTCTCTCAAATCTGGGCACACATACATAACAGCAGCATTATGAATACATATATTGCGTATGAACATATCTTAACGCATTAATTGAGCAATTTTGAGTAATTGCTTAGTTTGAGCATGTCAGGCGATATCAAATAGTTTGGTATCATGGTTTCCAGAATGACGTATGTCTGGCGAGTCTGGCGGCTGCAAATTCAATAGCCATATAAATACATACGTAGGTAAACCAATGGAATCTTGACACAAGAACAATCTTTCATTTTATTTTTGCTGCAATAAGACGAAATGAACGAGATCAAAGGGAATCAAAGATTTATTACAACTTTTGTCTGTGATTACGTCAAAATCGAGAACACTTTTCTATCTCTCGCTTTTGTGCTGCTTCCAAACAATGTTCGAACGGTAGCAAAACTTTTAGCGATGACCAAATACTCTTCGTCTTGCTTTCCTTTACATTTCATTTTGGATTACGGACACCCCACGCTGTGCTCCCGTTTATCCACCCGCACGGCTCAGCTACGATCCAAATGACCCAAAAACTTTCTCCAACAACTCTGCCGATACTACCACGAGTACTGATGTTGATGCTGATGTGCTGACCAACAGCAGTCGATCTCCTTCGCAAGAACCGCAGGTCGACATGGCCGAATGTTGAGCCACTCTAAACTCCGTGAGTCACACAAAGACCGAGGTAATGCGAGCGAGGCTTTTATTGAATCCGTATTGAGTGAGATCAAAGGAAATTGATTAAAGATATGTTTCTCCCACGAAATACACCCACTCTTGATTTCATCAAATGCATTTTCCTCCGTCCAATCATTTAAAGTGAACTGTTATTAAATTGTCTGTATTAAAAATCCACTCCATCATCATATCACACGAGAATGGGCATTATTATCCCCCATCAATGCCAAATATATATGTACATCATAGTTTGAGAATATATGCGTATACATTCGTTGACCACTGACAAGGGAACCTTAAGTACTGCCACATCTCGATTTCCTTTCGGATGGTCTTAATTGATCGATAATTTAGTCATAGAACATACGGTGCAAAATCACGTTTTTGCTAAATATTTGGAGAAACTTGCACTAAAGCGTGCAATTTTTTCCATGCTTTTAACATAGACAACAGCGTTCGGAATAATGAAAGGAAGTTTATAAGTTATATACCTGTCTGTAATTTCATGCTGATCACCAATATGCAAACAAAACATGCAAACATTTGCCAATTTTTTTAAATTGCGAAAATCTGCAAAATTTTCTAAATTTGAATTTCGTCGTTTTTTTAAATTTTAACAAACTTTAAATGTTAAACTTATTTTATTTAAGCTTTGCAAAAACGTTTTCAAAATTTTTTTTTCTTGCAACAAAATTGGCGAAAATTTTCAAAACTCGAAACTCAAACTATCTCATGAACAAGATATAATGACCAATGCTAGTTTATTTGTTAGAATTGCTTATTGCAATATTTATTTTTTCAAGTTGCAATTATTTTTTGAAATTTATCGTCAGCTTTTAAAATATTCAGCAAAATAACTTTTCTATACTTCGTTCGATATTTTAAGCTTTTTGGAAAACTGAAAAAAATCGTCTGAGAGCACATATATAGGACGTCCTATATATGTTGAACTATATATGCGGAACTGGTATGAACTTTGGGTGGAATTTACGTTGGGTACAAATACAAGGATCCTCCGATCTTTCATGCCTACTGATAGTTTGATCATTTTTTACGTTAACAAATTCCTTACAACAAAAGTGCTTCTTTCTGGATGAAACTGAAACCGCTAGCGAATAAATCAAAATATATACGGCTGGCAATGCTCATTTTAGTTTGGCTGTCCTCTGCACGAATTTCGGCTGACTCAAATCCTTTGCTTTGAGATTCGTTATGGGTAAAATGACAGATAAACATAGGCACAATTGGATTAAAAGTGAAATTAATTCCTGCACCACGCACTAATACCTAAAGTAACAAGCGAATTTGCATTGTAATCTGAGAAGTGGGTCGAGTCAAGTCGAAATATCAATCATCATTTTTCTACCTTTAGCGTCTCAAGCAATTAATTTCATTTCACGGTAGTCGGGCAAAGTAATCAGAATTTTGAAAGATGCAATTAGTTACACATGCAACTAACATTTAACGCTTATTGTACATAGCAAAATACTTACGCTCATATTATTTATTTACGTCGTTATACATTATATGATGCTATAATTACAAACCATCTTTTTGCATTGTAAAATAAATGGTGTGATTTATTCCAAGCTATCCAACGGTTATATACATATGATCCGAGCTGGCTCATCTTCAACTCTACTTGGTTATATATATTTTCTTGGATGATTAATTCTTGGCCTTATTTGCGTATTAATATTCCTCTTATTTATTGTATTACCAATATAACTAATGCTACAGTACTACTTCTACTATTAAAAATGGTGGGAGCTGAATCAACATGTCGTGGTTGGCATTTAAATTGAATTAATTGAATCCAGCCATTGATGTATGACACAAATTTAACATAAAAGCGTTGTCAGTCCATCAATTTTTGTGCTTATGGGGTCTTTTGTTGGGTTTTCTTTTCTTTATTCCTGACAGGAAGACGGACGTCAGAAGAAAAGCATGCACAAAATGCTTTGGAATAATAACTGGGAAAAACTATATAAGAACACTTCAAAGAGAACACATCATTAATTTTTAATGAAAGTTGAAAGTGATAACACAGGGGTTCTATTCTATTCTTCAAGTTCTTGGATTACTTATTTGAATGTGAGGAGTTAACACAATGACAAAAATGGTGTTGGACAGGCAGGTGGGCTCAGACATTTGAAGACTTAATGCGTCTTCTCTGAACTTGGCACCACTTTAACACCGTGAGCCGTGAGTGGCAATCCTCTTGATGAATTAATCAGTATGAATATTTTATATATTTCTCCTTCTCTGATGATGATGATCCAACCCAACATTTATTTTCAAATTTCCGTTTACTGCGATATTTATAGAACATTTTTATCAGGATTTACGTAAGCGGGAGGAGCAGCAGTTATGGTTTATTACGAGAGCCACGATGTGCTCCGTGCTGTGTGGCGTCTGCTCTCAAAGTGATAAGTGAAGTTATGAACTAAGACAAGGCAAGGTCGGACATCAGACAGAGAAATGCTATGCTCCTCTCCACATACTCGTGATAAACTTGATCATCAAAACTGGGTCTCTCTCTCTTACGCACGAATTGCGGTGGGATTATGGTGAGGTGGGTGACGCTTTCGGGTGGTTTCATCCAGTGTTCAAGAGTTTACATAACATAATAATAATCATTATGTATGTTTTATAAATAATTGACTGATTGCTTAATACCCAACGATATACATAACGCTGCAATGTGAATTTTGTGATTGGTGAAACACGTGAAACAAAGAGATTGTGTTATCAATCAAGCCATTACTCAATGTTTTAATTCGTGTTGTATCGTAATTTTAATTGATATTAATAAAAATTCCAGCCAAAGCATTCGATAAAATCATGTTCGTTTATCATGTGAAAAACATGTAGTTCTAATGAATTCCATTGTGTAAAGTAAAGGAATTTAGGGAGAAATAGTCTCAGTTGGTCTTGCACCGCCCAATGCGTAGGTAAAAGTTCAAGTCCGGCCGATGTTGTAAAATAAAGTAAAGTTCGATACAGTTAAGAAGTGAGAACCGAAATGGATCCCACGACCACACCCCCATCGAGATTCTATGTGAAGGACTACTCTGAGAAATTTGGTGCAGTCGAGTATGTAGTGTTTTCTTCAGTTTTGGTAGCTTCCGCCGGAATTGGAGTGTACTATGGGTGGATTGGGCGCAAGAAGGCGCAAACTAATGACGAGTTCCTGACGGCAGGTAAAAGTATGCCGATTCTTCCCGTGGCTTTATCTTTGATATGCAGCTTTGTGAGTGCAATCACAATTTTGGGCAACCCTCCTGAAGTCTACTACTATGGAACGCAATATTTGCTCATTGCAACAGGATTCATTCCAATAACCTTAGCACTTGCGTACATTTACGTCCCAGTATTTTTTAGGCTTCAGTTAACGTCGGCCTATGAGGTTTGTGACAAATTCAAGATTTTCAAAAAAGTTAATGTCTGCGGTTGTAATTTGGAGAATTACAAATGTGAGTCAAAATTTTACAGTATTTCGAGTTACGATTCAATCGAGCTAATCGAATGGTGATGTCAGTCATTTCGGTCATATATTTGGTATGTCATAACATATAAAGAGTTGCTTATGTGGTATTCAGTAAGTTGACAAAATGGTTAAACAATTTTATTTTACCCAAGATTCTCTTGATGTCGGTATGGGTTTACGCTCCATCCTTAGCATTGAGCCAAGGTATGCAAAAAATAGTCCACCTTGTTATCCACACCTACAAACGTTTGATGGATGTGCTGGTTATGGAAATGCGGAAATGCGATAACAATAACCATGTATATCGTAATTATTACAGTGGCAGGAATAAATACATACTTATCAACTGGACTGACCTTTGTTGTCTGCATTTTCTATAGTTCTTTGGTAAGCTCGCTATAATATATAAATGTTTGCAGATATGTACATAATAAATTCCCTTGTTAATTGTATTATTATGCAGGGTGGTTTAAAAGGTGAATTTAAAATTTAAAAGCATAAATTTAAAATATCGAATTAAATAAATTTTAATTTTTTAAATTTAAAATAAAAAGCTGTTTTATGGACGGATGCACTTCAGGTATAAAATTGACATATATTTATATGTTCACTATGTATACTTCGGTTGGAAATTGTTGGTAACGTCTCATCCGTTTTGTTAAGGCGACATTGATGCTTGTTAGCTTAGCAGCGGTGGTGGGGAAGGGGATTACTGACGTTGGAGGCATCGGCGAAGTTTGGGACATTGCAGAGCGAAATAATCGGGTCGAATTCTTCAAGTAAATTATTTTCACTGGTTTAATTGCATTTAACAATTTATAAGTGATCCAATAGGACGAAAAAATGACATGTTTGCCATTTTATTCATTTTTTTAAATTCTCAGCTTTGATCCTGACCCACGAGTTCGTCATTCCTTCTGGACGGGGACTGTGGGGGGTTACCTCATGTGGATACCTTTGTGCTAATTTCAACCTTAATTTCATCAATTAAAGCATATGCATATTTATATATGCTGATGTGATTCATTCTGTTTCAGATATGCAGCCACACAAAGTCAAATCCAGCGTTACCTCTCAGTTCCAACATTGCAGAAAGCTAGATTGTAAGTTGTACATATGTATGTATGCATGTCGTCGTTGAAGAATGAAAAGAGTGAACCAAAGCCAGGTCCATGAGCCCATGTCTTGCACACCCACTTAAAAAGGGGTTGTCTTACGCTAACCTGGCACATTAAAAGATTCATCACAAATCTAATTTTGATCGGATTTTGATAATTTTTCCATTTTCGTATATCATATTACATGCATTTCGTTTCGTTTTTTAAGTAGTTAAATCCCATCAGCAACCATAGGTGCTTATGATATAAAACTTTTTCAAATTTTTTCAGATTCTTTAAAAAATTTGCATATCAAAAACGTTTATTGTAATATTGGATATGGTACAGCAACTATCTGGGACCACGAAAATATAAAAATCATCAAAATCCGATTAAAATTTGGACTTACGGTGAATTTTTAAATGTGGCAAATTTAGCGTTAGCTGCCATAGCTCGCACTGGACCAAAATGGTCGGACCATGGACCATGGACTGCAAAAAAATTGGTCCATCGATGGACCAATTTTCAAATGGTCCATCGATATGGATCATAGACCAATTTATTGTGAGCTATGTTAGCCGCTCCTTTAAGTGGGAGTGGGGAGGGTAAATGGTTCTATGGACCTAACCTTAACCCATCTTCCTTTATCTTACTTATCCTTAATAACATATCAAAGGCATCAAAATCCGGTGTTGCGAAGTTCGTCTGTTCTCCTTAGTCATTAGTGCGTCTTAAAAACGGTTCATCTTTTTCATTCTTCGACGACGATCTTTACAACGTATGTAGTTGATGTTAGAATATTATACGAGTAAATCGAATTTGTTTAACCATAGAACACTTTTCATCAATATGATCGGATTGATTCTGATCATTGTTCTCTGCTTCCTTGCTGGACTTGTGATTTATGCCAAGTATCACATGTGCGATCCAATTAAAACTAACGTATGTATACATTACTCTCTATACATGTACGTATACATAAGAATGTAGCTACCATATTATAGCATCAATTGAACGTGATTTTATTTGCAGGCAGTGGAAACATCAGATCAACTTTTGCCACTCTTCGTGATGGAAACGTTGGGTGACTACCCAGGACTCCCAGGAATATTTGTTGCAGGTTTTTTATTTTTTATTATTCAGATATTTTAGGTATTTTAACCTTCTTATTTGTTGCAGGGATTACTGGAGCGAGTTTAAGGTTTCTCTACAATTACTTTCACTCTTTGCTATAGAGTGAAACATGATGAATTGCGCACAGGGCATCAAGTTAACCTCAATACGTTTCGTATGTCACAGCTCAGTATCAAGTGCGTTGAATGCTCTGTCGGCTATCATAACGGAGGACTACGTCAAAAAATGGAGGCCCAACTATAAAGATGCTCAGTTAGCAAGAATCTCAAAAATAGTTTCCGTCGTAGGTGGAATCTTGTCGTTTGCATTTGTGTTTGTCGCTGAACTCATGGGCGATATCTTTCCGATTGCATTGACGATGGTGGGAATGTTTCTGGGTACGTTGTGCGTCAATAAAAATGACAATTGCATAGGCTTAATGAATGACGTTCACTTTTTAACAAATGCAAACGTAGGACCTACTTTGGGTCTTTTCACTTTGGGCATGGTCTTCCCGTGGGCAAATGCTTGGGTAAATAATTTTAACTTTTACATAAGCTCGATGAATGTACATGTATTTATATTTTTTCCGCTTTGTTAAATGATGACAGAATTAGGAATGTTACGAAACTCTTTGTAAATATTATCACAATGCTGCCACATGAAAAATTATTAATTTGATTCAATTATTTATTAATTTAATTCAATTAATTTTGTGTCAAACCGACGAGTTTTGATTAGTGAAATAAGTGAACATGTATAAATGTGTTGATGCATCTAGAATGTGCCATATGTATATTACGCACATCGCGATGTATCTATGTATTAGATGAGTTAGATATCTGAGAAGCCCTAAAAGCTTTAGTCAGCCCATAACTCGTCATATTCTAGAATGCGCGACAAAAGAATGTGTATAACTCAGCATACAGTAATATTTTTTTGTGATGTAGGGTTCGTTGGCTGGTCTAATTTCTGGGATCGTATTGGTTTTGACAATAAGCGCAGGATCAATTATCGACTCGGACAGTATTCCAGATCAGAAGCTGCCTGTGTCGACGGAAGGGTGTCCATTCTACAACGAGACGGATCACATCATTTATCCGAAAGCAGACGTATTCTCATCCACAAGTTGGAAAGACGCCGAATATTCCCCATGGGTCAAGATCATTTCTTTAGCACCAACGTGGTATCCGGGGCTTGGTCAGTTGTCGACCATTTTCTTCGGACTTATATTTTCAATGGTGTTTTTAAGGTTTCAAAACGTTAAGCCAGTGAAACGCGAGTATTTGAATACGTCCATTCTCCGCCTCTATGAATGGGGGTTACCTTCGTATTGGATAAAAGGCTGGGTAGAACCTTTGGAACTAAACCTCAAAGAAAATGCAGTGGAGAGTGACAATAATATACGAGTGTGATACTATTTAATTTTTACTTTCTTGCCCTTCCTACCTGGAAATGATAAATGATGCTTGAAATGGTACATCCCTGTAAAGCAAAACTCTAAACACGTACGTACAAATGTGTGTAGCACCACATTCTTTAATGTGACCATTAGCATGAACTTGAATCGCTGTGGAAAGGAGTCGCATCATCATCAGTCTGTGCACTAAGAGTCAAGGTTGGACTTTATTAATTACATGAAAATGTTTTCCCTCGTCCCAAAACGACCATTTACAAAGCTGTTCATTTCAGAGCAGAATACTTGAATCGTTCGTTCGCTCGCTCGTTCTCTCATATTTTTTTTACAACTATCTGTACACCAAGTAATTCTGCTGTGCTTCATATCTGGCCTCATATTGGTTGCAGAGATTGCCGAGATAACTGGCAGCCAACCTGCTTTCTCTCTCACACATTTTGTTACATACTTTTCCTAAACAAGGCAGAAATGAGCAAGTGCTGTAGCGAGCACATCTACGGCGAGGACTGCTATCTATTTACCTATCTATCTATTTACCTCTGGTGTTATAGGGTTGCTGGTGGCCAGGAAGGAGGAGAAACTAGTTCCCTATTATTTTCGAGATAAAAGTTACCTGGATGGGAGTAGAGGAACAAGCTAATAAAAGAAGGGCATAAAAGAGCTTACTGAATTTCTCTCGGTCTTCATGTCGATGATATATCGATTCCCATCACGCTACACACAATCACTTTAAAAAACTTCTCCACTTGAGTCCCCCAGCCGAGAGGGTGGCTAAAGCAAGTCAGTAAAACTTCTTGAGGAACCCGGTTTCCTTCCTTCGGATGGATTCTCACTCCTCAAGGCTTTCCTTTCGTTATTACTTTCCCATAAAGTTGATCTGTCCGTGGTCCAGACTCACTTCCTCTCAGTTTTCTCTCCGGCCCAAATAATTCCCCTTCTACACCAGCACTTTTACTCCGCACTGCAAAACCAACCTACTTTCACTCAATGTGTTTGATCAATCTCGTCTTTCTCACCACACGCAAAGAAGCGATTCTTTCACTTCCTACTCTCTCGTCCTTTCAACAACCACACCACACTCATTTGCCATCTTCCCGGCTGCAAAACGTAAAGAACAAACATACATACTTGCAATATATTGAAAACTGTACTTTTACTGTAGCTAGCCGAATTCTAATCTGTCTGATTTATTATTTTAATTGAAAGTATTGGTACATCGTCGACTATATAGTTTCGTTTGCTCTTTTTGCAAGATGGAACGATGAAATTCAGTTTCCCTCACAAAATATATCCGAATACTTATTATCGATATGAGGTTATTGTATCCTGTAGTCTTTCCTCTCTACTCGTGAAATTTTGTCAATCTGCTCAGTTACGCAAACCAGCAAACATGTTCCGTTGAAGTACACATTTTTTTCATATCATTATTCTGGAAGTCATGTCATTTTGTATCATCGTTGTATTTGGTTGGGCAATATTTGTGTAACCGAACAGAATGATAATGCACGCATAATATTTGACATAGGTTTTGGATAGCAAATTATGAGCCATCCACTTTAGAGTGGAAGTGGAGTGAGCCCGGAAAGAGAGGAGATGGAGATGTGCATGTAAATATAATATGTATGAAGGGACGAAAGGGACCGAAGAATCATAAAGTGATTTGATACGAGGTAATAAAAATGGATAAAGTTTCCAAGAGACTTGAATATTACGTTTTAACTCAGACCCAGCTAGTTTCGGATACACTTTGGCTTGTCAAATCACTGCAGCCAATTTTATACATGAGTAAACTTTATCCGACATAAAAATCATTTTTCACCAAAAAATCCAAAAGGCAGAAACAAAACTATTTATAACGTCTCAACTCAACTCCGTGTCGCCACCACCAGCAGCAGCAGAGCGAATTTCTACCCGTACTAGAACATGGGTAGCATACAGCGACGTGAATGAGTCCATATACTTACATACGGTTGACAACCCGTGTCAAAATTTCACTAAGATTCGCATTTCCACCACCACCCCAACACTAGACGTCTTACTATTGCTACTTGAACCTGCACTGCTAGCACCGTGATGGAGTAAGTTAATTTCCTCGTCAATTGTGACCATTAGTACTACTTTTATACACACAGAGAGAGACTGCAAACGTGTTTTACACTAATTTTCAAAGTGAACTTGAAGAAAATCTCGGTCCTTTAGAAAACTGTCAAGCCCATAGCTTTATGTACGCATTTGCTCCAATGCTGCTCCAATGAATGAATTGGTGATGAATAAAATTTGAAACTCAGCCAACCACAAAATTATGCCAATTTGTCCAACCCCCAATGATTTTATTTCTGTGAAATGAGAAATTGGCCATTCAAGAGATGAACATGTTGAACATGAAAAATGTTGGCCGCTGTTGAATTTAAATCAAAATTAAAATAATCCCAGCCCATCATCTTTTATTAAAATATTTATTGCTCTATGTGATGTCCATTAGTGTTGGTATTTATGTTTCGGGGACACCTTGCTCATTTGCATAATAATGTAAAATACAACTAAAGGAATTTTCATCGTTCAAAATGCACTATACGCATGCACATGTATTTTACAGGTACACATTTTCACAGTACGGACTTCTTGACGTAGATCGAGTGGAATTGCATGCTTTTGCAATATCTTTCAATTTCCTTAACCTTTCGGACATGACAAATCCCAGTTAGTTCAGCACACCCTCAATTTTAATCGTCAGAATAAAAAAAAATTTGTAAGTAATCTCTACCATTCCATGTTTTGCATTTCATTAAATCATTTTATATTTCTTAATAACGTACATCGTTATTTTCTTTGAATGTAAAAGTTTTTATAAATTTCCAAGCTCATAAAAATGCTTAGTATTTTACGAAAATCAAGACAATATTATTTTTCGATATTGATTGTTACGTACACTCTATACATACGTGTATAATTTGTAAAACCTACTCCAAGCAACTTTGCGGGGCCTTTTAAGATGGCATTAATATGTATCATCTTGGTAGTTAATGGCAACACATTTGGGTGGAAAAGACCCCCACTGGCCAACTACTTGGCCGATCATGCCCATCTCCGAACTCATCCTTACTTTTGACCCGAAGATGAAGTGTGCAAAATTTCTAGTCGATAGCTTGTGTTTAAAGAGAGTTATCGTGCGCACAGACGGACGCACAGACGGACGGACAGACAGACATCGTGGTAAATCTATAAGGCCATCTTAAAAGGCCTAAAAATAGTCAACTGATACCGGATTACTTGAGTTCACATTTGTGTTTGTGTCAGTCTGTTGTATGCATTGGATACAAGTTAAGAGAATGGGATTCACGCTAATTCTAAATTAATGGACCAATGATCAGCTCATCTACCGCCCCCTTCAGAAGAAAACATTTATGGCACTTCTATCAAACAAATCTCTGGTAATAAGCATTACAAATTCAAATGAGATGAACCAAAGTGAGTGCTTTTCCTTGAGAACGAACTTGTTTGTGTCCGCGAGAAGAGTCTGACTGAAGAGTGCAAGCAAATCCAATCCAAACTTTTGTTTCCATCCGTTTATAAACGGGCTGAATTTGATAGGGTGCTAATGGATGTTATTGTTTGTTCCGTTCGTAATAATCATGTTGAGTTGGTGACCCATATTTTCATCAAGACCCATTCGTTTCAGCCTGCGACGACACAATAACACTGTCCGTCCAACTCTTAGGTATTTGTGCCTGCACAGCCAGCTCTCGTCCATTAATGCAACAATGATGGTTGGTGTGTGTGTCTTGATGAGCTAAATATGAGAATTATGTGTTATTTGCTCATTGAGTTGGACGTAGTATATCATCATCACCAAATATTACTGTTATTGCCCTGTGGACTACGATCAATGAAGATGCAGCCACGCAATGGTTTCATATTAACTTTTCTTTTTGCACTGTCAGCCACATCTGAGGATGAGTGCAGTTGTACGTCTTGCATGCAGTACAACTTTGTACTTTACGTATGTACAGAATGCGTACATACGTACTCACACCTTGCAAGGTGTACCAAAAGCACTGCTTGTTTACTACTTACTTCTTCTTCTTCATTAAACAGCCATAGCTTACACGAGATAACGGATGTGTCACAAATCCTTAGTTGATAAAAGTTGGAGTGGAAATGGTTTGCTGATTTGGATGGGAGCATAATGTGAATTTAACATTTATGTTATCTTTTGTGTCCCACAGATTCCAAAATTATTGCCATCCTATTTACATCAAGATATGAGGATAGTTCTTCGCACCATAACTAAAGAGATAATTAGGATACACGACCACAAACCAGTATTTGCTTCTCATGACTTAAAAAGTATGACAGACAATGGACAAGCGGACCGAGTAAAAGCAAGCATATAACACTTGCTTAATTTTCACTCCTTCCCAATAATAAGAGGATCTAAAAAACGTTTTACCTCCTCCTCTCCCTTTTAAATGGAAAATTTGATGTCTATGATGGTCATTACTTGTGAAGTTTGGATTCAATCTGTGGATAATAATACGGCACATTGTTTCCTAGTTCAGGGTGAGATTGTTGAGGATGATACAAGGTTTGCATGTCAGCGGAAGAAATGCAAATTGTTCGAGATAATGATGTGTTGTGTATTGCCAAAAAAGGACATAATCGGCATTTTCCTTAACCCGTGTGTGCAACTGCTGAGACTGACATTTAACCCCGCATCACATTATCAAATTATTTCACTATCTGAAATTAGAAAGAAGAGCTAACACATACATGGCTTAATTCAGATGTAGCCAAATAAATTTTCATTACATGACACTCATATACGTAAGCTACATAAGTATATAGACAGTAAACATTACCAGGAAATGCGCTCTGTATTGGCCTGATCCTACCCGTATTCCACTAATAAGATCGTTATTTTTCCTGAGAAATTCCTAATTGAAAACGAGCTCTAATTGTCTCACCTAAAAAAATATTTCAACTGTGCGCATGTCATCAAGTCAGTTACCACTGGATATTTTCCTAATTTAGTCTACAGAAAAGGTGTCACTCTGTCCCTTGATAATAGCATGAATATATATTTGTATTTACATA